TTTTTTTTTTTTTTTTTTTTTTTTTTTTCTTTTAAAGACTGAAAGCCAGTATTTTGATTGCAGATAGTTACTTCAGAAAATCAGGGTTGGAACATTCAGAATATCTTGCAAAGGATCTAAAATGGTTCAGTGAACAGGGTATTGTGATACCCGAACTGAGCAGTCCAGGAGTTCCTTATGCTAAGTATCAGGAGGAACTTGCTGAGAGGAGTGCTCCTTTGTTACTTTTCCATAACTATAATATATACTTTTCACATATAGCAGGTGGCAACAGGTATGTGAAGTTGCTTTCACAATGTGATGCTACTGCGATCTCAGATAACTAAGTATTTATTGTATTACCTCTTCTCTTAGAACTTTTTATTCAAAGATGAGTAGCAGCCTTTCTCCAAGGAAAGGAGGTGCCTCTGTCTGTGATCTGAGATAACAAAGTATTTATTGCATTACCTCTTCTCTTAGAACTTTTTATTCAAAGATGAGTAGCAGCCGTTCTCCAAGGAAAGGAGGTGCCTCTGTCTGTGATGTGCTATATGAGTCATGAGTTATAAACCAATCCTTTGGCATTCTTTATATCATAAATAGTGTTTGAGTTGTGGCTTCCTTCATGCATGAGACGCCAGAAAAGAAATAATCATTTATCCTAAAACTTGTTACGTAAAACTTTAAAAACATGTATGATGTAATTGCCTGTTATAGCTGATAAAATTTTTATTATGATTTATATTCTTTTTCCGAAGGATTCTGATAGACTCCTTGAAGGTAGAAAGCTTGAATTTTATACATGGGCAGGGGACGTAGAAAAACTGCTGAAAGTGCTCGTGAGAAGCTTAACATGCTTGGAGAGGTTGATTTCATAGAATATAGAATATTTAGTAAATTGCATTTAGTTAGTGATGTCTTTAGCTTCTGCTTTACCATTTGCTAACCCTATGCAGCTATGTGGACGCTAATGCAGCACTGGTCTCGAGATGAGAAAAATAAATGTTCGAGAGAAGCAACCAAGTCATTCCGCATTTTGGGAAAGATAGTTCGTTTGTTTATCGTATGATCAGCTATTTTAAGTGATATGACTTTGAAGGTGTTCCCGGTAATGCAGCAATATTATTTACCTTTCTCATATTCTATTTATGCCTTTGTTTCATACATTAGTTAATATCCTTTGTCTTACATTCTCATTAGGCACAAGACTAGAATATCAAGGGGCCAACAAACTGGTAAAGTACACGTTTATTCACATGGTTATCATAAATTTACATCTTCAAGAAAATGCATTAATGTTTGATGCGAACTACCATCCTTTCTATTCATTGCTGCTCATCTTTCAATCTGCAGTCTTCCTCCTTCCATCATTAGATGTATTACCGTCCTCTGGCTAGATAGATACTTCTCCCAACATACCGACACACTCTGAGTGAAAGTTCAAAATTTTAGATAGCCGAGTATAGGAATATAGGAAAAGGGTAATTGAAAGCAGTGGTTATTCCTTAATCATTTACAACTTAGTTGTAGGTAATAGAGAAGATTGATATGTTCGATAAGTATTTATCTTTTAAAAAAAGCATTAGAAAATTACCCTATGGCCTTTTCACAAAAAATGACAGTTCTTGCATTGATGATAAGTCCCGTTGACTTTTATAATTATAGATAGAATGGTAAGATCAATGGCAAAAGGAAGAGGAAACAATTTGAAAGTTCGGTTAAGACAAATGAATGATGAGAATAAGCTGAAGCAAAACGACCTTGCTTGAACAGATCATTTTGGTGTCATGAGTTCTAAAAATAAGGTGAAGCAAACTTTCAAAGTAAAATATGTTATCAAGTTTCCAAAGTTTGACTTGCAGTTATTATAATTAGTTACTTCCTAAGAGGCTTGTAGTAAATTTGATAACCAACTAGGATGTGAGCTATATCTCGAGAATGTCTACAAAATTACTTGCCTCAGAATAAGAAGAATTGTCTATAAACTTACAGCGCTATCTAAAAGAATCAAACTAATTTGTGCATAAAAATGATCTCTAAATAAATAGTAAGGCAGTCCGCAAAATAGTATAAAATATCTATAGTTAAAAAACTTGAAACACTCTACCGTACAATATCAAAATAATTAATGCTAAAACAAGTGAAAAATATGAACTTTTTATATTGTTTAGTTAAAAACTTAAACGTGAATTGCATAATTATGCAACAGGGTAGTTTGAATTGGAGGAGTTTTGTTCGATTGAGCTATAATGCTTCTATATTGAACATATTTCAATTCATGAAAACCTCTAGTTGAAGGGAGAATATTTTTCTCGACTCTGTTCTATTCGAGTATTCTTAATGGGGGTATTCCATATGAAAAGCAGTCTCCAAGTATTTATCATAACCTCATGCTTTTATTTTTACGTTGAAATTGTATTTTTAGGTTTTGTCACACCCTTCCTCAACCCTTAGTGTTTGATGCCTTACAACACCATTAATTTGGGTTAGCTGATAGCTCCACTATTCACTTCGAACTACAACTTGGAATGTACTGTCACCCATTTAACATCGATTTAGATGGTGCTCAAGTTTTTTCTATCAAGATCCTAGCCATATCATCTTAATCTTTGCATCTAATAATTTGTCTTTTGATTTATCCCAAGTGTTGTGAAATTAATGATTATATATAAAAACCACCTCATTATTGTCAAAACCATTTATGGTATTGTAGAAACTGATGTATGAAGAAAAATACGAAAGTAAAACCATCATTGGTAATATAGGTACATGGTCTACAATCTGAATTTGAATTACACTTGATAAGATTTATAATAATTTTTTCCTCGTTATTCTTTGGACATTTTCAATATTTTTTGGAACTTTTTCTCCAGGGGTAAGACTTGACAATGCTCAGAAAATGGTTCTCTTTCAATCAATCAAAGTTGCGATGAATCTACAGGGCTGCGCTCATTCAGAGGTTTTGATACTCTGATTGGAAATGAAAAAGAGCAGTGATTTTGGACAGTGGTGGCTGCTGGAGGCATGGAGCCAGTGACCTTCCCCAACTTGAGGAGCTAACCCCATTATTTTCAACATTCAATCAAATGCGATCAGGTACACATTCTAAAGTACTTGAGAGAACCATTGGATACATTTGACTTGGCTTTGGTGGGGTTTGAAGCTTTCTACACCTTCCTTTTTCTCATATGTATATGCATATTTTTTTATATTCCAAATTCACCATCATTAATGCGCGCACTTGGTCAATTAGTGGCTCAACATCGTTCAAGACAGTGACACGCTTGACACAAAATAAACTTGGCATTATCACTCTTGATATGGTCCAAAACCTATTGAAAAGATTAAATATTAGGTTATAGATTTGTTTGTGTTTTGTTAGCTATTTTTTGCTAATATTTTTTAAAACCCAAATTTGAAAAAAGTGGTATTTTTTGAAATTTAACAAAGAATGAAAATGTTTTTTTTTTTTTTTTTTTTTTTTTTTTTTTTTTTTTTTTTTTTTT